ACTAGAATTAAGAACACAATGTTTTTGTCTGTAATAACAGATTTATTTTACTGTAACTAGAATTAAGAACACAATGTTTTTGTCTGTAATAACAGATTTATTTTACTGTAACTATAATTAAGAACACAATGTTTTTGTCTGTAATAACAGATTTATTTTACTGTAACTATAATTAAGAACACAATGTTTTTGTCTGTAATAACAGATTTATTTTACTGTAACTATAATTAAGAACACAAAAGGTACAGAGCTTCAGACATAATTTCTAATAATAATTGAAAGCTAATACTTACATCTTCCGAACGGATCCCCAGCTGTTCCAGGGGGGCAACGACATTCAAACCCTCCTTGTGTATTGGTGCAAATGGCTCCAATGCCACATCTTCCATTTGGACCAAACCTCTGGGCACACTCATTAATATCTTTATAAAAACAAAAAGATACAAAGAACCACAGTATTAACACTCATTCAGAGGTAGAGGTAATATTTGGTCAGAGTACTATTATAAAAATATAGTTTAAAAAGTTACAATAACACTGTAAGTAAAGACAAAAAGTATTTAGCTATATATTAGAACATAAACTAAACTAGGTAACACAAACACTCACTCAGAGGTAGAGGTAATATTTGGTCGGAGTACTATTATAAAAATATAGTTTAAAAAGTTACAATAACACTGTAAGTAAAGACAAAAAGTATTTAGCTATATGTTAGAACATAAACTAAACTAGGTAACACAAACACTCACTCAGAGGTAGAGGTAATATTTGGTCGGATAAGTGTGTTGTAGATGTTGTTACTGGAAACAATGAAGTATTTGATGTAAGTTAAGTGTGTTGTAGATGTTGTTATTGGAAACATTGAAGTATTTGGTCAGATAGGTGTGTTGTAGATGTGGTTATTAGAAACATTGAAGTATTTGATGTAAGTTAATTGTGTTGTAGATGTTGTTATTGGAAACAATGAAGTATTTGATGTAAGTTAAGTGTGTTGTAGATGTTGTTATTGGAAACAATGAAGTATTTGATGTAAGTTAAGTGTGTTGTAGATGTTGTTATTGGAAACAATGAAGTATTTGATGTAAGTTAAGTGTGTTGTAGATGTTGTTATTGGAAACATAAAGTATTTGATATAAGTTAGGTGTGTTGTAGATGTTGTTATTGGAAACAATGAAGTATTTGATGTAAGTTAAGTGTGCTATAGATGTTGTTATTGGAAACAATAAAGTATTTGGTATAAGTTAGGTGTGTTGTAGGGGTTCATCTGGTCAGTAGATAATTTATTACCTTCTTCTGATCATTAGAACATCCTTCAATATGTACATCTACACACAATAAATATTTAAATGAACATAAACACATACATACTACACCAGGCAAAGCAGTCCACAAGTTAATGACAATAACAGAGAAATGACTTCGTCAAAAAACAAGTCTAGATCTATTCTTCAATATGAAAAACTTCTAATATTTAAACTAGTACTCCTAACCTTTCCTTTCAAACAAGAAACCCATAGAAAGACCACTTAGGTCCTTAACAATCCTATTAAAACCCGTATCTTGTATGTGTGTGTAATAAATTTAAGTCACCAATTATTTTACAAACAAAACCCAGATAATTAAAAATGATTTAATGCTGGTTATAAAATGTTGCATAACTACTACCTGTAACGTACAACCTTTTCTCTGGAGAGAAAAGGTTGTACGTTACGGGTAGTAGTTGTTGTTTATGTCTTATGTACAGAACTACCCGTAACGTACAACCTTTTCTCTCTCTGTACATAAGACATAAACAACAACTACTACCCGTAACGTACAACCTTTTCTCTCTCTGTACATAAGACATAAACAACAACTACTACCTGTAACGTACAACCTTTTCTCTCTCTCTGTACATAAGACATAAACAACAACTACTACCCGTAACATACAACCTTTTCTCTCTCTGTACATAAGACATAAACAACAACTACTACCTGTAACGTACAATCTTTTCTCTCTCTCTCTGTAACAATACTCACCCCGACATAAAGCTCGGCCGTTGCCAGTATATCCGTGAGGACAGGAACACGAGAAACTACCAAGCGTATTCTCACAGATGGCCGCTTCACCACACTGACCACTAGGACCATATCGACTGTTGCATTCATTAATGTCTATAACAAAAGAAAGATTAGTAGAGACAAGAATTACAAATTCACTACCACTGTACTTAGTAAATAAACTATAATATATTTAATTCTCAAATGGACTTTTGGACTAATTTCATTCATGAAAAGAGTCCATATAATGAAGTTAACAAAGTACCAACCAATACAAAGTTTTCTGACATTTTTGGAAGCTCCAAATGCAGATTTGAATTACTGAAATAAATTATTAAGATATTTGCTCATTTATACACCATTGCTAAGGTAATAATTTACTTTCAGGAGAACGTTGTTAACATGTTGTAACATTCTTCACATCATTGCTGGAGTGACAATTTAATATCAGAATGTTGTAAAATTTACGCATCATTGATAGAGTGACGATTTAATATCAGAATGTTGTAACATTTACACATCATTAATAGTGACGATTTAATATCAGAATGTGGTAACATTTACGTATCATTGATAGAGTGACAATTTAATATCAGAATGTTGTAACATTTACACATCATTGATAGAGTAACGATTTAATATCAGAATGTTGTAACATTTACACATCATTGATAGAGTAATGATTTAATATCAGAATGTTGTAACATTTACACATCATTGATAGAGTGACGATTTAATATCAGAATGTTGTAACATTTACACATCATTGATAGAGTGATGATTTAATATCAGAATGTTGTAACATTTACATATCATTGATAGAGTAACGATTTAATATCAGAATGTTGTAACATTTACACATCATTGATAGAGTGACAATTTAATATCAGAATGTTGTAACATTTACGCATCACTGATAGAGTGACGATTTAATATCAGAATGTTGTAACATTTACACATCATTGATTGTGACGATTTAATATCAGAATGTTGTAACATTTACACATCATTGATTGTGACGATTTAATATCAGAATGTTGTAACATTTACACATCATTGATAGAGTGACGATTTAATATCAGAATGTTGCCGAGGTAATTTGAGGCAATTTAAATTTCTGGATACTGGTCCTAAAGTGAAATGTAAATTTCTGGAAAATGCAGCCATATTTGTGTTATCAATGCATATATGTAGCCAAATATATTTATTTATAAATCTAGTAAGTTACCTAAAAAACAGCCAGATCCATATTAAACATGAATGAACCATGTTATTTGGAATACAGTAAAGTCAACATTATTTATTTATGTATTGAGATGGTAGCCAGATCAATATTATTTAAGTACATACTGCCAGATTCATGACTACCACTAACCTTCACAATATCTAAAGGGATCTCCGGTAAAACCTGGTGGGCAAATACAATGGTAACTACCAGGAACGTTGGTACAAAGAGCACCCTGACCACACAGACCAGAAGGTCCATGATTGTTGTCACATTCGTTAATATCTGTTGTAAAAAAAATATGCAAACAACTGTTAATGCCGATCTTTATAATAAATGGAACAGTTACTTAACAATCATTAATGCCTGTCTTTAAAATAAACACAACAGTTAATTAACAATCCTTAATGCCTATCTTTATAATAAAGAAAACAGTTAATTTTAAAGTGGTAGTTTAAAAGCTAGTAATCTCTTACATATTATTATTTTACTGATTTAGAGAAGAATCTATACAAACAGAACAACAGAGTAATAAAATAGTCATTAGGAGATTTGTTTTTTAATCTGTTCTATATGACACAATAAAATGGATTTGGAACTTTCATACCTGTACAACCTGCTCCAATGTTTCCTGGAATAAAAGTAAATCCCAATTCACAGACACAATTCGCTTCTCGTCCACTAACCTGGCACGTGGCATGAGGCCCACAGTCCATGTCATAGCAAGGTGCTAAGTCACAACGAAAAAACCCAAAACTAAGCATATACTATTTATCTCCAAGATAACAGTCGCTCAATTTTATCGTTATAGTTCAACATGATATATGCAATAATAATTAAAGAGGTCTAGAAAACCTTAACTTTCTACACTAACAGTAAAATACACAAATAATTTCAATTTTAACACATCATTGTTATACACTACCAATAAAATACACAAATATTTTCAACTTTAAAATACCATTACACTAGTAATGGAATACAATACTGACACTTTGGTTAAAATTTTCCGTGTTTTGTTAACTCTTGTAAATTTCACATTAAAAATTAAAACTTCAGCTGGAAGGATCAAACAAAGTAATACTGCTATTTACCAATATATAATTTTCAGATTTAGCTGTTTAAAAACTGTCAACGATAGGTATTATGTGTAATGATGGTAGTGTTACTTACATCTACAGGCATCTTTTGGGTTTCCAACCATCGTGTCAGGACAAACACATTGATACCCTCCATCATTATTGATGCACTTTGCACTGATTCCACAAGGGAAACGTCCGAACACACATTCGTTAATATCTAGCCCAAAATAACAATAAATGTTACATTTCTTTATTATGGTAACTTCTCTGAATCTTCAACTCGTTAAAGTTTACAATGAATTAACTAAAATATCATCATTCTAAACGACATTCAACTTTATCAGCACCATTACCATCAATCTGCTCATGCAGGAGCATATTGTGGTTTTGCAATGGTCTGATGCAGTGTTAAAGGTCTGGCAACTTTTAAGTTTAACGGTATAATAAATCTGTAAAGCAATTTTTAAAGTTCCTTTAATTCAAGTAATAATGATCATATGAATGAAGTGAGTTCTATATATTACACGTATAAGATCATATATATTCCTCCCATCTTACAAATTCAAAACATTCATACAGAAAGGGTTTCACCGCTGAACATCAACATTTTATTCGGCAATCACCGGTGTTACATTTCATTTTCATTCAAATCAAAAACAAATGTCTATAGCCCCTAGATTTTCTCTGTGTATAAAATGGTCTATTTTTACTACACTAGTTCAATATAGACTACTTCTTAGGAATTAGACTAGTAAATCAAGGTTAGTTGAAAAAATATTCAGCAGGCATGCAGTATCCCACAATGCTTTTCTCTAACTGTATTCTGTGTTCCTCATCTAGGCACTTCCTATATCAAATGAATGATTGGAATTTATGAAGAACTTGTCAGTCATTTTATGTTTGTTTGTTGGCTTTGTGCAATAGCCATCACTAAAACAGCTAGTCAACATCATCCACAGCCAACTCCAGGGTTATTTAAGTGAGAACAAATAGTAGAATTTGAGCATCATTTTCATAATGCACCCAAGATCTAAAGTGCAAAGTGTGTCTTTTTATGGTAACAGGACATAAATCAGGGAACCTCAGCTACAGTCCAGCATGATAACCAGTGGGCTGCACTCAGTCTCTTATCAGGGCAATTATTAATAGAAGTACAATATATATATATATATATATATATATGTTGCATTTGTTCCGATTTTCACAGAAGGTTTATGGCACCTATTGGGGTTTGCTACATGAAATAACATTTATTGATAAAAACAAAAACACAATACTACAAACAAGAATAGCTGACTTCTTTCTGCATACACGGCAAGTACACAGCACTTCATAGACACTTAATAAACAAAATTACCATATTGGCCCGATTATAAGGCGATCCCATTTTCAGAAACCATAGGAAAGAAAACAAATTGTAAGTCATAACGTCCTTTTTTAGGTCCGCAAAGTCAATAAATGCAAGAATTAGTGATGGCCTTGAACAAACATTGGGCACCATGCATAGATGGATGCTATTTGGACATTCAGGAATGCAACAGGCTAGAGTAGGGGGGAAGGAACCTGTAGTCGGCTACGATTATAAGGCGACTATGAATTTTACAACCTAATTATAATCGGGCCAATACGGTAAAAGAGAAACAGCATTTCATTTATCAAATAGTGTGGTTATCATTATTTAAAAGTATAAAAAAATCGCATTTAAAAAACTGCACAATAAATACTAGAGCAACTTATAGAATAAACTAGAACATAGAAGCATTTTATCACGACTAAGATCTTTTTTAATCAAAAAAAATTACCTCTACAGGGACTTTCAGATGTTGGTTGTATTTTTTCATACCCATTTTTACAGTCGCACCTATGGCTACCAATCGTATTCACACAAACTGCATTGAGACCACAGATGTTTCTTACTTTTGTACATTCGTCAATATCTACAAACAAATGAAAAAAAATCGTCATGCTTCATTTTAATGACAAGGTTGACCAATTTTTTATTGTAAAGTACTTGATCACAAACTCTAGAAATGAAAATTAAAGGCTTTGTAAGTGTAGAATAAATAAGCCTAGTGATAACAAACCTAACTCTGATTGTTTTGTTTTTAATTTCGCACAAAGCTACGTGAGGGCTATCTACACTAGCCGTCCCTAACTTAGCAGTGATTGGTTTGTTACGAATTTCGCGCAAAGCTAAATTAGGTACTGCGCTAGCTGTCCTTAATTTAGCAGTGTAAGACTAGAAGGAAGGCAGCGAGTCATCACTACCAACCGCCAACTCTTTTACCAACGAATAGTGGGATTGACCGTCACATTATAACGCCTCCACGGCTGAAAGGGCGAGCATGTTTGGTTTGACAGGGATTCGAACCCGCGACCCGCAAATTACGAGTCGAGCGTCATAACCACCTGGCCATGCCACTTAGCAGTAAAAGACTAGAGGGAAGGCAGCTAGTCATCACCACTAACTCTCGGGCTACTCTTTTACCAACGAATAGTAGGATTGACTGTCACATTAATATACCCCACAGTTGAAAGGGCGAGCATGTTTGGTGGGACGGGGATTCGAACCCGCGACCCATGCCGGGCCAACTCGGATCATAATGGCAATAAGTCTATTATAGATATATTTAGACTAACACAAGAAACGTAGTCCAGATAGCTAGGTCTTCACGTACTTATTAGCAGATATTTTGTATAAATCTTCACTCACCAGTGCAGTATTTTCCTTTGTCCTGGAAACCATTCCTGCATCTACAGATACCACCGATGCACTCAGCGTTTTCAGTACATTCAAAATTTCCTTGGCACTGCACGTCTACTCTAACTGTAAAATAAAAAAAACAAAAATTCATGTTCCCGTTTACTCTACTGTAGCCCCAAGCTGTGCACATTTGTCGTCTAACGGGATAATGATTTATTGGAAGGGATTCAAAGGATTTCAAGGATTGACGTCTCTTCTTTTCTGATAAGAGGTGATCTTATCGAACTTTACAAGATTATCAGGGCGATCAGATTTCTTTGTGCTATATTCTGAAGAGAATATGACGAGAGGATTAAAGACAGGATAAGCTTCAGTTATGACAGTTTTATTTTTATAACAGCGTTAGAAGCCAGCACTTTACAGAACTGACGCAAGACCACTAGGTTTGTCGAGGGTGTTTGTTTGTTTGTAATTAAGCACAAAGCTACACAATGGGCTATCTGTGCTCTGCCCACCACGGGTATCGAAACCAAGACTCTAGCGTTGTATGTCCGCAAACATACCGCTGTGCCACTGGGGGGCGGCGTAATGTAAAATACATTTTTAAGCTACATCAACTAAAAGTTATTGTTGTACTTTCTGAAGTTACTTGAAGTCCTGTGGTAAGACCTAACAAAAATGATTAATATTTAAGTCACTGATGTTGCGCGAGGCTGAGGGAAAATATTCTTAATTTGGAACGTCAAGGGAAATGTCTCGAGATTCCACGTCTATGCATTTCAAAATAACCGGTGTATTCTTCACTCCGAGGAACTTTAAACAGTAAAACAAGGTATAAACTGTTATCTCAAACTATACTTTGTTGTTGTAATAAACAATTAATGGCGACCTTACCTCTGTCACAAAGGACATTTGCGTTTCCAGTGAAACCATCTCGACATTTACACACATAGGACCCAGGTACATTATTACAGATGGCGTTTTCTCCACAAGACTGGCGTAAACATTCGTCAATATCTTCAAAAATAAAATGTTTGTTTAGCTAATACATTTCGGGTATATTTTAACCAAGCACCCTATAATAATTAACATTAGGTTAAGTTATCCGCACAACAGATGTATATAGTCTAAATGGAGGAAGGATAGCCAAGGATAACTGTAATAAAAAAATCATGACAGATTACGCGTTTTTTGTTTTTTTTTACATCCCTCTTTATTACAAATTTCAAAAGAAAGGCACACGAGTGTTAAAACAACATTTATAATACTTCGCTGACTTTCAGAATTCAAAGTTAATAGCCTTAACGGGAAAAAAATTACGACTTCCTATTGCAGTTACTTGTTTTTCTAGTTGGTTGATTATACGGCCCTCTTATCATTTTACATTTTTTAAATCCCAAAACTGTCATTAATAAATGTGTCCGTTGAATGTCCGGTTACGTACCAGCACAGATGGCTTTTGGATTTCCGGCGTAACCTGGTAAACATCTACACTCGTAAGATCCCGGCAGGTTGTAACATTCTGCATTGACTCCACATGCGTTAGGCTTGCGGCATTCGTCTTCGTCTGCAGTAAAAAATTGCATTATCTCAATAGTCTATATGCCTATGGTCTGGAAACGTTTGGGATTATGGTCGAACACGTCGTTAACAGCGAATGTGTTAAAAAAAAAAACACTATTTCATTGTTTACTTGTAATCAGTTTGTTATGTTGGATTGGATTAATTAATTTCTAAGTTACATTAGCTTCTTTCTGTTCAGAAGTTCTTAGTATGTACTTTTTTGGTATTACACGAGTTTTTACTATAAAAAAAAAGGCTTGAAGAGAGTTACATTTGTAACTTAATGTAACAGCTTATAATATTAGTATTGTTTGATACTAGGAAATAGAGGGGGGAAATCAGTTTTTGAGATTACACGACGCGTTAAATACCTAAAAAATAAATATGGATTTTTAATATTGTACATACTAAAGTTACACAAAATCACATCAAAATTATGTCATTAAACCACGCACCTGTGCATCCTGCTGAAGAATAGGGGTCGCCCCTGTAGCCTGGTTTGCAAATACATTGATAACTGCCAGGAGTATTTTCACAGTGTGAATTAAAGCCACATGAATTAGGGCATTCGTTGATGTCTGTAAATAAAGAACATTAAAATATATATATTTATATCTATTGAAAATTTAAATCTATGACCAAGTTCAAAATTCCGTTTTTTTTATTTAAGATTATTAAATTAGGATGAAAAAGAAAGAGGCCTACGTCTCACTTAGAAAATCAACCAGATGCGGTAAAATAACCACCAAAATAACGCTACGTCTCACTTAGAAAATCAACCAGATGCGGTAAAATAACCACCAAAATAACGCTACGTCTCACTTAGAAAATCAACCAGAGGCGGTAAAATAACCACTAAAATAACGCTACGTCTCACTCAGAAAATCAACCAGAAGCGGTAAAATAACCACCAAAATAACGCTACGCCTCACTTGGAAAATCAACCAGAGGCGGTAAAATAACGCTACGTCTCACTTAGAAAATCAACCAGAGGCGGTAAAATAACACTACGTCTCACTTAGAAAATCAACCAGAGGCGGTAAAATAACCACCAAAATAACACTACATCTCACTTAGAAAATTAACCAGAGGCGGTAAAATAACCACCAAAATAACGCTACGTCTCACTTAGAAAATCAACCAGAGGCGGTAAAATAACCACCAAAATAACGCTACGTCTCACTTAGAAAATCAACCAGAAGCGGTAAAATAACCACCAAAATAACACTACGTCTCACTTAGAAAATCAACCAGAGGCGGTAAAATAACCACCAAAATAACCTACGTCTCACTTAGAAAATCAACCAGAGGCGGTAAAATAACCACTACGTACTCACTTAGAAAATCAACCAGAGGCGGTAAAATAACACTACGTCTCACTTAGAAAATCAACCAGAGGCAGTAAAATAACGTGTAACTGATACTTTGTTAATAATTACAATTTAAAATTGTCGATTGTTTTTTATTACCTTACACTAATTATAGGATAAACTGTTAGAATCTTTAGTTACTTTTTGACTTATTTACGTTTAATAATACGAAGTTACAAATCGCTACAGTTGACTTGATTTTTAAATATACGGCAAAGCGTTCTCTCGAACTTCGAAAAAGTTAAAAGAAGAACTAGGGAACTGTATAATAAATCTATTCATTATTAGAGGCGTCACTGGGCGCTGACACACAGGGCCCATGCCCCGATTCTCTTTGACAGAGCCTCGGATCCTCGGTTGGTGTCTTGCAAAATCAGATTAAAATTCCCACACCTATGGGATCGAGCTCCGAATATTTTAATCACCTAGCGACGCCTCTGCTCATGATTTAAACGTACTCGTGCATAGTGTATTGCAGTAAGCCAAATTAATTATTTAATTTTGAAACCCACCAACACAGCCAAGTTTTGGATTTCCGGTGTATCCTGGCGGGCATTCGCAATAATAGCTTCCTGGTGTGTTGATACACTGAGCGAAAGATCCACAGCTAAACCCTGGATTTCTACATTCGTCGATATCTACACAGCCTTGATCGGGAGTAGGGTTCCCTTGGTAACCAGGCTGACAAGAGCACTGATAGCCGCCTCTCGTGTTCGTGCAGATGGCTCTAGGACCACAAGGTTGGTGCGAACATTCGTCCATATCTGAAATGAAAATCTGTTAAAACATCCAAAAGCCAGTTGCTTGTATTTCACAGATTTAGCGATTCTAAAATACATACCACCCCTCCAATAAGGGTAAAGTATTTAACGGTTCTGGACTATTTACTAAGCCTACAATACGTATAAAATGATTTAGCAGTTCTGAGACAATTACTAAACCCCCAATAAGCATTAGAAATATGTAGAAGTTCTGAGATAGTTGCAAAGAAAGACTGAAATATGGGTAAACAAGATTAAACTATTTTGGGACAGTTACTAAGCCTACAAAACAGGTGAAAAGGTTTAGCATTTCTGAGAGAGTTACTAAGCCTATAACATGGGTAAAAAGATATACCAGTTCTGGGACTGTTACTAAGCCTACAACACGGATAAAAGGTTTAAAAACATCCTAAAACTATTCGCCATTTTCATCAGTAAACATCATCAACGCAAAATTTTAAGGTTTATCTTTTTAGAGCAGACAACAAAAAAGTTGTAAATGTTCGAATCTGAGAAAAACGGGGGTCGGAAAAAAATCAGTTTGAAATGTTGTTGAGGGGATCATTTAAAGACCACTAAACCAGAGGTTTATTTATGAAAACCACGTTAGCATAGTAAGCCAGAGCAAGATCAGTTAGAAGAAACAGGTAAATCAACTTTACCACCTACAAAGTCACTACAACTATGATTTAGGTTATTGAAATGCTTCCAAACTATGGTTGATTTTTCCTATGTTTCGAGGAATGGTAGTAAAATTTTATAGCTCACGAAATGGCGCCTAATTTCGGACAAATAAGGAATAAACCTGATTTAGAAGAAAGTTACCTTAGCTATGTATGCACACGTATAACGTTTCAACAACGTGACACTATATTATAGTGTGACACATTTTCAACAAGGTGACACTTGATTACAATATGAAATTTTCAATAAGGTATCGCTTATTACAATGTGACACATTTTCAACAAGGTGAAACTTTATTATAGTGTGACACATCTTCAACAAGGTGACACTTTATTATAGTGTGACACATTTTCAACAAGGTGACACTTGATTACAATATGAAATTTTCAATAAGGTATCGCTTTTTACAATGTGACACATTTTCAACAAGGTGAAACTTTATTATTGTGTGATACAGTTAAGATCTGGAATATTAACGTTTTTAGAGACAGACAGTTTAACTTTTCCAACTAGTGGCGTAAAATGATAAAGAAACCTTGTTGGTCCACATTTTTATTTAACCTTGTCACGACCTAATGAAATTATATAGAGTTAGTGTGGCCAGACGTTCATGAAGATAAACTCATTTCACTTCGCGTGCTTTTTAAAGAATAGGTTCAGCCTGAAGCGTCGTACATTTAGACAAGTCACGCAATGTAAATTAAACAGACGTATTATAAAAGAACCTAGCTACCAATCAAACAATCGCAAGTTGTCTTGCCAGATGGAATTCACTAAAATGGTAGAGAGAGATAACAATCGAAGATTTTCAAGTTAACCCTACCAGAACAAGCTTCAAAAGGATCTCCTGTAAAACCTTGCGGGCAAAAGCATTCAAAGGAACCTTGAATATTGCGACATTCCGCACCTCTTCCGCACGAATTCGGATCCAAACACTCGTCGACATCTGTATGAAAAAAAAAAGTTACATTTATAATTATCTGAACTTTAATAATTCATTAAATCGAACAAATTTCTGTATTTGACATAAGATTTAGGCTTAGTCAGTAGGCTTAAGAAAAAATCTAAGTGCTTTCAGTTAAACTGACTAACAAATAATTCAAACGTACAAAAAAAAACTCATTGTTATTTGTGATGTGATTAAATATAATAGTAAAGTTACATAATAACAAAAGGGACAAAGAAAAACTTTAAATAATCCCAGAATAAAAATGTGTTAAAGTCGATAAAGAAAAAACTGAATTTTCCCGTAATTTCAGATAAAAAATTTTCCTTGTTTAATAAATATTTAAATTTAATTTTTTTGTTTCTAATAAACGTAAAATATATGTAACTTTAGTTAACCCATATTTAGGCATAAGGTTTAGGAAACCTTGTTTCTTATATTTTATTCTACTCCAATATTTATACATCGTTTTGTAAAATAAAAGAATGTTATTGTATTCAAATATTTATAGATCAGTTTGTAAGAATAGGGGCATGCTTTCGGTATAAAATACTTTTAACAGTTGCTATCTTTTCTCAGTTTGACATTCCATCTCTCCTTGTGTTCTTTTTGAGAGATAGTTGCGTACCCCCCCCCCTTTATTCGAACCTGTACCCCTGTATTCGAAAAGTAATTTTAATCCCTAGAGAGGTTACACGATATTAATTCTGTATCTAGTCCCCACTGTGAACAGTCTTTAACACATTCAGAATAAAAAGTCCCTGACCGAGCTCGTCTCTAACTGGCTGTGTTTGAGCTACACTTTTAAACTAGTAACTATAAATAATACCAAGAAGTTCTAGCACAAAAGCCGATAACATCATATTAATTCTTTTAGGAGAGAGTCGATCGTTGGCCTAGCTCGCTTCATTAAAAGTTTAAAAAACCCGCACGAGTTTGGCGGGAATGAATTTCTCACCTACGCAGGATACTGTTCCGTTGCCAGTGAACCCAGCTAAACACTTGCACACGTAGTGACCAGGCAGGTTGCAACATTCAGAATTGGGAACGCAGGCAGCAGCAAGAGATGGGATCTCACATTCGTTGATATCTGGTGAAAACAAAAAAAATTACCATTTGTGAAAAATGACAAACTGAACTAATAAAATTCACTAACCTGACAAAAATATTAATAAGGCGGTTCGATAAGAACACTACTTCTCAAAATAACGTGGTAAATATGCATATTTAATCTTGTAGCCCAACAATGTGTGTATGTATTATATTATTTGTTAACAATTTAGTTATTGACTAATCCCACGTTTCGCTTTTTGTTAAAAAATCCAAAATAAATACTATATAGTTAAATTAAAGTATCTGAAATAGTAGGAATCACTAACGTTGAGGGACAAAAACATAAATATCTTGCATCAGCATGACCCAATGTTTATTTATTTATTAAGAAATGTAGTATAAGAATTGTTCAGAATGTTACACTTAACGTTCAATGCTTGATGGACGAGATCTAAGTACCCTTAAAAATTAAAATATTTTAATAATGCTTTCGTTAGTCCTAAAAAACACAATCTTCAAAGTTAGCTGTGATTTATTTTAACTGCTGTTACGAGAAGCGGTATGCGCCACCTGTTGAGTTTCTGAGAAAGTTACACATCCTCGACACCGCAGTAACCAGCGCCACCAAATACGGTAATCTCTACTTTCAGTTAGTTGCTTTAAGCCATTTCAGCAAAAATGAACGGCCTTGAAAATCGTTAAAAATACTCCACTGCCGCGATTGGCTTGGTCGGGCCCCTGACCCTGCGTCACTGAACCCTTCTTGCCAGATTCCGTATCCGTTGCAAGAATTGGATTCTTTCCCAAGAAGGACAATACACAGTAGAATGACCCACCCGTGATGTGTACAGTTGAACAGCTAATGTAAACAATATTTAAGTTTCAAGGTTTATTTTAAGTTGTTTTCAAGTTATTATTTAAATATGTTCTTAAAAGACGTGGCCAAAGAAGCTAGTAAATATACAAAGGGAAGATGTTAGGTTAATCTCAGTACAGAAGAAAGTACAGGTGGGGTAAAAAAAAAATGATCAGGTATGCCGTGAAACGAGTCTGTCTATGAAACTTCGTAGGCGTTAAAACCAGCCGACCCTGCGACTGTGTGGGTTTCGCTGCCTGAGGTTGGATGCAGTGATCATTTAGTGACTAAACTGTTAGTTGAGTGTGTAGGCTGGTAGGTCGCCAACTTTATTAGCAGGCCTTGAACACTGGCCAACTGTCACTGCAGTAGTCATGCTATTTGATGAAGTTATAAGGAATTGTCGGTAACTTCATTAATCATTTTTAATAAGATACGTCCTGGAGCTTAAATTTTGAACTTATTTTTAAAAATTAAGTTTTCGCAATATTAAATAGTGGTGCCGCCTGGAGCTTAAATTTTGAACTTATTTTTAAAAATTAAGTTTTCGCAATATAAATAGTGGTGCCGCCTGGAGCTTAAATTTTGAATTTATTTTTAAAAATTAAGTTTTCGCAATGTATATGCATAATGCCATCTAAAATTTAATATAACGAAGTTATTCACGAGTACATAAATTGAAAACTCAAAAATGAAGACTACTATTTTCAGAGCATGTATACATCTTTGGAGGAAAAAAAAACCTCTTTATAAAAGCTTCAAGAAATGAACTCTAAAAACACGAAATAAAAAAAATCGCTGAAATAGTATTCAAAGAACTTTTCTTGAATGTTTACCTTTTGAAAACAAATATAGTGTCATTGTAAAGGGATTTGTTAATATAATTGTCCCCCCAACCCATCTGAATAAATGATCGCAATCTGCGGGTCGCGGGTTTGAATCCCCGTCACACCAAACATGCTCGCTCTTTCAGCCGTAGGAGCGTTATAATGTGACGTTCAATCCCACTATTCGTTGGCAAAAGAGTAGCCCAAGAGTTGGCGGTGGGTAGTGATGACTAGCTGCCTTCCCTCTAATCTTACACTGCTAAATTAGGGACGGTTAGCGCAGATAGCCCTCGTGTAGCTTTGCGCGAAATTCATAACAAACAAAACTAAACCGAATAAACGGCTTTGTTATAAGTCGAGTAGCCTCGTCAACAGTGGATACAGCATATATATAGTTTGGTTGATATATTTTGACACACTCCTCTTTACGGTGTTTAAAATACGTAATACTGACTGGAGTATAAAACAGAAATTTATGAATAAATGAAACGCCAGTGATCTCCAGATAATTTTTCTATTTTCTCAACGTTTCGGTTTTACGTCCTCATCATTCCTCTTTAGTTTCATTCAGTTCTTATTAAAAATATACATTCA